TATTTCTGAAATTCATATTACCCGGAGTCCCATGGTTACTGATTCCTTGCCTTCCTGGGGGATCGGTGATCGACACATTCAGGTATGGTTGGTCGGGAAGGTGGTGGCAGTGTAAATGTGTTTTGTTATTGTTTTTTTAACTAATAACCCTTGTCCTTGGTGTATCTTCCTCATTTAATATTCCTCTTACATACGTGGCCGTCCAGTGAGGGGTCATGCTGGACTGTAACAGTGTTAAGCTGGGGTATTGAGTGTAGAGAGACAGAGATGTACAACAGAGAGCGTATATTACGATCACGAGAGATAACAAGATAACAGGATTAATACTGGGGAACATTGGGTTATTATAATAGAGGCCGCGGTTATTACGACAAGCGTAAAGCGGTCATGACAACAGGACACTCCCAGGTGGACACAGGACACTCCCAGGTGGACACAGGACACTCCCAGGTGGACACAGGACACTCCCAGGTGGACACAGGACACTCCCAGGTGGACACAGGACACTCCCAGGTGGACACAGGACACTCCCAGGTGGACACAGGACACTCCCAGGTGGACACTGTACACTCCCAGGTGGACACTGTACACTCCCAGGTGGACACAGGACACTCCCAGGTGGACACTGTACACTCCCAGGTGGACACTGTACACTCCCAGGTGGACACTGTACACTCCCAGGTGGACACTGTACACTCCCAGGTGGACACTGTACACTCCCAGGTGGACACAGGACACTCCCAGGTGGACACTGTACACTCCCAGGTGGACACTGTACACTCCCAGGTGGACACAGGACACTCCCAGGTGGACACTGTACACTCCCAGGTGGACACTGTACACTCCCAGGTGGACACTGTACACTCCCAGGTGGACACTGTACACTCCCAGGTGGACACTGTACACTCCCAGGTGGACACTGTACACTCCCAGGTGGACACAGGACACTCCCAGGTGGACACTGTACACTCCCAGGTGGACACAGGACACTCCCAGGTGGACACAGGACACTCCCAGGTGGACACAGGACACTCCCAGGTGGACACAGGACACTCCCAGGTGGACACTGGACACTCCCAGGTGGACACTGTACACTCCCAGGTGGACACAGGACACTCCCAGGTGGACACAGGACACTCCCAGGTGGACACTGTACACTCCCAGGTGGACACTGTACACTCCCAGGTGGACACTGTACACTCCCAGGTGGACACTGTACACTCCCAGGTGGACACTGTACACTCCCAGGTGGACATTGTACACTCCCAGGTGGACACTGTACACTCCCAGGTGGACACTCCCAGGTGGACACTGTACACTCCCAGGTGGACACTGTACACTCCCAGGTGGACCTGTACACTCCCAGGTGGACACTGTACACTCACAGGTGGACACTGTACACTCCCAGGTGGACACTGTACACTCCCAGGTGGACACTGTACACTCCCAGGTGGACACTGTACACTCCCAGGTGGACACTGTACACTCCCAGGTGGACACTGGACACTCCCAGGTGGACACAGGACACTCCCAGGTGGACACTGTACACTCCCAGGTGGACACTGTACACTCCCAGGTGGACACTGGACACTCCCAGATGGACACTGTACACTCCCAGATGGACACTGTACACACCCAGGTGGACACAGGACACACCCAGGCGGACACTGGACACTCCCAGGTGGACACAGGACACACCCAGGCGGACACTGGACACACCCAGGTGGACACAGGACACACCCAGGCGGACACAGGACACACCCAGGTGGACACAGGACACACCCAGGCGGACACAGGACACACCCAGGTGGACACAGGACACACCCAGGCGGACACAGGACACGGACATCCCATCTCCCACTTCATATCATCCAGTGTTTATGTTCAATTCCGCTCACCACGCGAAGTTCCAGCTCCAGCGTTGGGGGCAGAGTCTGCTATGCCACTTCCGTCGCTAGAGGCGAATATCCCACCCACTCTTCCGTACACTCCAGCCCTCGGCGCCCCTCGGGAGATACATCCTTGCCGCGGCACAAAACATCGCGGTATGAGGCGAGAGAGGGAATGTTGCACGAACGAAGCTTTGCAAAGGTAATTAAATTTTTCGTGTTGCCGTCACACGACGACAGTACCGGACTGGATTACACGGGGGACGGATGCTTGGGCTCCTCTCTCTGTCGCTGGTAGCTGGGGGAGGGGAGGGGGGAGTCTGGTAGCTGGGGTGGGGGAGGGGGGGTGTTGGCTGTGGCTGGGGTAGCCATTAGCTGTAGCTGCTCTGTTGGTTGTGGCTGGTCAGTTAGCTATGGCTGGAGTGGTGCGGGAGTTTGGAATATTGCTTAATCAACCAATCTCACTGTACAAATGGAAACTGTTATTTTTGTAGTTTGTGTTGTGCTTTTCCTATTGGTGCTTTATAAGCCACTAGATGGGTTACCCGGCTGTGCACGGGTCTCCCCCCCCCCCCCGCCCCCACTGTGTCTCTTCTTCCCCCCCCCCCCCCCGCCCCCACTGTGTCTCTTCTTCCCCCCCCCCCGCCCCCCTCTCGTTTTCTCAATCTTTCTCCCGCCTTCTCTCTTCCAGCATCCTACTGGCTTTCCCTCTCTCCCATCCCCCCATCTCTGAAAACGTGTGAAGCTACTAGACTATATGAAGGGTTAAATATGTCGTAGTTTGTGTCAAGAGCTAACTACTTGATGGTAAGAAAAATCCTTATCTCGCAGGATGGTTAGTCATACAGGGCCATGTGAGTAGTAGCCTGCACTGGCAAATTTTGGGTGCATTATGAGGATATCCTCAGGCAAAAAGTGGATTCTATAACTGCAAAGCTCCAGGTACCTCATGCCAACGCGTATGGTCTGATAACTGGCCATTCAGTGATGTAGTGCGGGAGATCATGCCGTAGTTCCTGCTCACAGAGTTTGCAACTGGAGTGCTCAGGATTGGGAGATCCGTTACCTGCAGCCACCTGCCACAGGTAACGGTAACCCAACCTGATCCTGGCAACCACTGTGTCGCACAGGTTGGTCCACGTTCTGTGCTTCATATATACAGTAAATAGTATCTGAATCTGAAAATTTCGTATCTGAAAAAAAAAAATTGCTTTTTTTACTCGTGTTTTCAGGTCATTGAGAGTCTGAGATCTCTCTTATAAGACTTAAATATTTGAAAATATATCAACTGAAATAGAAAAACCTAAGCCTAATTCAGTTTCATCCGTGTTACATGCTACTGTAACTGATGTTGTGTAATTATGATCGTTATAGTTGTGTGAAATGTAATCCATACAAAAGATATTCTAAATCCTTTATTCTGTGTAGCGAGCAGGTTATATATATATATATATATATATATATTTATATATATATATATATATATATATATATATATATATATATATATATATATATATATAGATAGATAGATAGATAGGGGGGTACCACCTCTGGTGCAATTATAGGGACCCACAGCCTCAAAGAAGGGAACACAGAGCATTCAGGGAAAAACTTGCCATTTAACTCTGAATACGTAAGAGTGTTCGCTTCTCCTACCACCCCCCTTTTATTTATATTATATATATATATATATATATATATATATATATATATATATATATATAATATAATATATGCGGAAAATACACAAAGAAATGGTAAAGGAACGTTTCGGCCGTTTCGGCCGGCCAACATACCATATACTGCAGGTATCTTGACGACATTTTTACACAGGTACCTGATGTCAGACATCTGCAGGAGCTGAAGGAGGCATTTGAGCGGAATTCTGTGTTGCGTTTCACTTACGAGATGGAGAAGGATGGGAAGCTGCCCTTTCTGGATGTAGCAGTCATGGAAAGGAGCGGAGGTTTCCACACTGCAGTCTACACTAAGGAAACAAACATAGGAATGTGCCTCAATGCCAACAGTGACTGCCCAGACAGGTACAAGAGGAGTGTCGTTAACGCTTATGTCGACCGTGCTCTCAGCCACAGCTCAGGATGGAAGCAAGTCGATGAAGAACTCTGTAGGGTAAGGCTGGTCCTAGTCAACAACGGCTTCTCCAATGGTTTTGTTGAAGACATCATAGGAAGGAAGGTAAAACGCCATGCAACCTCTGAAGAGACAACTAACACAACGCCTGTACCCCCTATTAGACTATTTTACAGGAACTTCTTTTCCACAGCTCATAAAACGGAGGAAAGGGTCCTGAAAGATATTAATAGAAACGTTATCCCTACAGACAAAAATCAGAAGATACAATTGACGATTTACTATAAAACCAAGAAAACGGCCAACCTACTCATGAGAAACTCCAGACACAAAGCAGAACGCTTTAAAAGAGACCAATGTCGTCTATGCCTTCAAATGCCCACTTGGGGACTGTAAGCCTCAAAGAATTCAGTATATAGGCAAGACAACAACATCTCTTTCCAGGCGATTAACGATGCATAAGCAACAGGGCTCCATTAAGGAACATATAATCTCTTCCCACAACCAGACCACCAGAGAAGTCTTAACAAAAGACACGGAAATCATCGATAGATACAGCGATAGCAGGCGGCTTGATATCTGCGAGGCACTACACATTAAGAAGTCAACACCAGCAATCAACAGCCAATTAATGCACAACTATATTCTACCCACTTCAAGAATCCGCACCAATATAGAAGCATCAAGAAATATGGGCCAATAGGCCCTTTGCAGTTACTTCCATTCTTCCTTTAACTTACAAAATATTATACTCATTGTTTCGTGTTCTGTCTTGTGTTGAAAATTGTTTTCACCTCATCCAAAACTGTTGTAACATATCACCTCACCCAAATGCAGGTATAAAATCAAAGCTGTTTAAACTCTGTTCAGTTATAGTTGTGTGTGTGTAAACTAAAGTCTTTGAAAATGAAATAAGTTATTACGAAACGCGTTCAAGTGTCGCGTCAGACTAGAAATAAAAATGAATTTTTATTCCAACTTCAATGTACATGTTCCCCTCGACGGCTCGTGGGGAACATGTACATTGAAGTTGGCACGGCTGGTATTGGTGACATTGCTGACACTGCTGGTTTTGCTGGCATTGTTGGCCCTAATATCATGGTATCGTAAGATATAATAATTTCTTCGTCAGTGATGTTAAATGCAAAGTTTAGAACACAAAGTTTCGAACATAATCACAATATAAATAATTCAACAACAGAACAAAATCCTCAAGGTGTATTGAGTGTTGTTGATTGGCGTTGGGTTGACAACGTGGCCCGCAACAAGGGCGCCACCACACCGTAGCGGCCACGGACCGTAACTGTCACTAACGGTAAACATTACCCCTCAATACCTGTACATCAGGGCAGCCTGGGAGGGGGTGCGGACGCCTGCCACACATCCGACAGTCCACCTCCATTACCCACCAATAACAACACATCTGGGGACCTGCTGACTGGGTTGTTCCGCAGCGTTGTGATCACTAGACTCTTAGTCATGAAGGGTCTTTATTTTACAACATACTCTTTAGTGTATTGTAATTATAATCATGATATATATAATCAAGAGGGGCATGACGGCTGAGTGGACAGCGCTCGGGATTCGAAATACTAACGTTCCGAGTTCGATCCCCAGCGGAGGCGGAAACAAATGGACAGAGTTTCTTTCACACTGATATCGCCCCTGTTCACCTAGCAGTAAATAGGTAGCTGGAAGTTAGACAGCTGCTACGGGCTGCTTCCTGGGGGTGTGTAACAAAAAGGTGGCGTAGTTGAGGACCGGGCCGCGGGGACGCTAAGCCCCGAAATCATCTCAAGATTACCTCTAGATATGATAGAATTGCTTTTGACTTAGAAATAGTTATGTAAAATTAGAGGTACATTGTAGTGACAACCGTACCTGCTAAACTCTAGTTTTCCTAAAACGAGAGTTTAGGAAAAGTTTAAGTTTGTTTAAGCTTACTAGAAGATTATAAATATAAAGGAGGGAACGACACACATTGAGCAGAAACCCGTAACATCCAGTAACAATCTAAACTTGATTCTTCCGAAAACTCGAGCAATAAGGAACACCTTTCAACATCAAGATACCAACTGACGTAGGCTCAAGAATCTGTACACCAGTTGATTGACAGTTGAGAGGCGGGACCAAACAGACAAAGCTCAACCCCCGCAAGCACAACTAGGTGAGTACGTATTCTGGAGCCTCAAAGGAAAGAGTGGGAAAGAGAACTCTCGGAATAGCAATCATATGGGCAGCTCCCAGGAACAAGGATAAGAACCTGGGGCCAGATTCACGAAGCAGTTACGCAAGTACTTATGAACGTGTACATCTTTCCTCAATCATTGACGGCTTTGGTTACATTTATTAAACAGTTTACAAGCATGAAAACTTGCCAATCAACTGTTGTTATTGTTATAAACAGCCTCCTGGTGCTTCGGAGCTCATTAACTGTTTAATAATTGTAAACAAAGCGGCCAAAGATTGAGAAAAGATGGACAGGTTCGTAAGTGCTTGTGTAACTAACTGCTTCGTGAATCTGGTCCCTGGAAGAATATTTAATTAACATCATATCTGGCTCATGAACGCCACATCAGTATGTCGTTTGCCATTTTATGCAAAACTGGCTGATTTCAGGGGAGCTTTCTGGAGCAAACAGGAATTCAGAACACATTATAAAACCTAAGTAAGACTACCGACAGTTGGTAGTCTTTGTCCGTAGTCTGGCACACATTGATTGGGCTGGCTAGTAATGCCGGACATTACGATCTGTCTGCCGCACAAATGTCCTGTGTTAAATTACACTTACCTCACATATTCTTTCAGTAATCTGTCCGTTGTAAGATAACGCAGATCCTGCCACCATAGTGACCGGTGTAAGACGACAATAGTGACGCAGATACATAATAATTTACTTTAATTTACTGAAGACATAAATAATAATTTACACGTGGAAAATAGTAGAGGGGCTGGTCCCAAACCTGCACACAGAAATAACACCACATGAGACCAGGAGGCATGGTAGGATGTGCAGAATACCCCCGTTGAAGAGCAGAGGTGCAACAGGTACTCTGAGCGAGAACTCTATCAACATCAGAGGCCCGAGACTGTTCAACACGCTTCCACTACACACAAGGGACATAACTGGCCGACCCCTCACAGTGTTCAAGAGAGAACTATCAACATCAGAGGCCCGAGACTGTTCAACACGCTTCCACTACACATAAGGAGCATGACTGGCCGACCCCTCACAGTGTTCAAGAGAGAACTATCAACATCAGAGGCCCGAGACTGTTCAACACGCTTCCACTACACATAAGGGACATAACTGGCCGACCCCTCACAGTGTTCAAGAGAGAACTATCAACATCAGAGGCCCGAGAGTGTTCAACACGCTTCCACTACACATAAGGGACATAACTGGCCGACCCCTCACAGTGTTCAAGAGAGAACTATCAACATCAGAGGCCCGAGACAGTTCAACACGCTTCCACTACACATAAGGGGCATAACTGGCCGACCCCTCACAGTGTTC